CATTGTGCACATGACTGACTGAGTGGCAGACATGAGGTGTTTGAATGAATGAAAGAAGCATGAACTGCAGCTAACCTTGCTAATTCTACCATGGCGGAGAGATAACAAGTACCCAGATTTCACATCTTGTACATCAAATCAAGGCAGATGCTGACTTTTACACAACACATTTATTGACACAGGTACATTTCTTCTGAAGAAAGAAGCCTGCTCTGGAGCTTCCATTGTTCAGATCTTATGATGACACAACCTGACTGGACGCCGCATTAGGTCACAAACCCACACCCCAATGTTTGTATGACATCAAATACTATAGCTGAAAAATCAGCAAACTTTGTTCACTTTTCAATTAAAACAAAAAGCCTGAACACCAGCCCTCTGCTATGAACTACAATGGAGAGACCTTTGACATTGATTGCCAATTTTACTGAGTCCAATTTGTTTAATTATAATCATAACAGGGTTGCCATTCTCCTGCTTTCATAAAAAGAAATCATAGAGAAAAGAAAATAATAGACTCATTTATAAACCTTGCAATTGCAATTTTCAACCCAAATTGCAGTGTAATGATTACAGACATGAGGTAGAGCTTGACAACAACAACACTAGACAAGAGTGAGGGGAAAAAAAAAAACATATAGCTAATGGCCCTCAGGTGCCACAGGAGAAATAAAGAGAGAGAGAGAGAAAAATCTTCCAGCAAAAAAAGGAGGGGAACACTCCCTTATTCCATAGGAACCGGGGTTGAGAAGTGGAGCTTCTCAAAATCTGCAATTCCCCAACCTCTTCACTGGGCCAGTGGTTAAGGGCTTGGAGAATTGAGTTCCTCTCTGCTGTGTGGCAGAAGAAATTGATGGAAAGTCAGCACAATGGCACAATATTGAGAGTGAAAACTGCCAAATACTGACAACCTCAAGGACAGGGAACCCAGAGGGAGACGGAAGACGGGGACAAAGAGAGAGAAGGGGGGATTTCTGGAAAAGCCTGATGCTCAAAAAAGCTTTAAAAAAAAAAAAAAAACTCCTCTTGAATGGGTAGATTCCTAAGTCAATGCTCTTTAATCAAACCTTATTGTTCTCAGTGTCCAGAGTACTTAAAGAACCAGCTGGAGAAACTCAGCAGAATCACAGGACTGTTCCACTGCACACACCGGATGTTCACTATTTGCTTGCATACAGTATGCCAACCCTACACAAAAAAATGATCAGGGAATCCAGATGGATACATTTCAGTAGATAAAGAAAATCCTTTTGGAATCATCATATTGTGAATCTAGACCTCAATGCATGTCAAAGGACTGTTACACAAGTAGCGATCACAAGATACAATAAATGGCACAGGTCAAAAGATGAACAGCAAGATAGGAGACAAGGTTTTCCACAAACTATCTAGACTTTTCTCTAATCTTGATATTTTTATTATAAAATACTGGAGTGGAACATCTTCTGGCCTCAATCATATAAAAAATAAATAATGCCATAATTGTCGGATTATTCCAGAATTGGCTGCAAATTCATAACTACTGTACTCGTTTAAGATGCAGATTGTATTCATTTTCTCAACAGCATAATCTTGAGCTTCTGATCATAATAAAGAGTAAATTACTGTAAAAACACCTGAAATATCCTGTTTTGCTTAAGTCACACCAGAGGCTTAACATCTGTCCCTGCTACAGTGGGTACTACTGTACTCCGTGACACCTCTGATGGGTGTGGTTACAGGTGAAACAGAGTGCAGCTCTGATCACAGCAGGCTTGAAACGTTCACCCAAAGAGGGAAGCAAAACTCTGCTCAGCATGGCAGTGAGTTACACTTTGAACAAAAATGTATTGTGGGAACTGTAGTTACTTGTCAATCAGCTTAAGTTATCTATAGGAAAAGTGAATGTGACTTCTGCTTCCAGAACCAGAGAATTTAGACTAAATACGCAGCAAATTAAGCAAAATGTTGGGTCTATAACAATGCCTTTAAATGTATGACACAATGAACTTGTATAATCTGCACCCAAGTCATTTACAATGGCCAGTCAACAAAAGGAACTTAAATAATACAATAACAACACACACACACACACACACACACACACACACACACACACACACACACAACAGTGTTAACAGAGCAATAGGAGACAGAAGCCTGTACACACATGCATGATGCATACACATGCATCATTCACAGGAGCAATCAAGAAAACCCTCACTTTTACAAACACTGCTGCAATCCAGCTGTACACAGTTTCTCACATGCACTCATGCACACCCACAACCAAACATGCACACAGCAAATCAGCATGAATAAATAAAAGATGGAGTTGTGCTCCACAGCCTAATCTCTGAGGAATAAATCGTTTTCCGCATCGGCAAGGATCAGCCCAAACCAGTGAGTGGGACACTGCTGGCTTCCAGGAAACCAATTTGTTTGTTTATTGTGTTTGTCGGTGGTTACACTTCATTGCAACCATTGCATCTCGGGTATGCTCCTTTAAATGGCATCTATAAAACAAGGCATGTGGTCCCCCCCACATCCTCCTCCGCACATGACGAAGCTCCACACGAGCGTCCCAATGCTGCATTTCGTTCACTATGGTGGGGCATCCCTTCAAACGCCCAACAGATTCACCCCAGCAGCTTGAGCTGGTGCTTTGAGAGGCGGAACAAACTATGTTTTCTAAACACATTAGCCTAAGAACACCACTGAACAGCGAGCCTTGGGGTGCTGAAATCAAATGTAATCATGTAGATAGATGGCTGACTTTTTATTGTTCCACTAAGCCCAAATCTGCAGGGTCGCGGTGACTACAGTGCACTTTCTGAAATGATGCAATACCCAAGATTTTACGGTTAACTAATGCGTTTGCAGTGCAATGTTAGCTGTGACATGACCCTGGGCTGTCGCATAAACTGGCACGCCTAGCATGCCCACACTATAGGAAGTACAAAGATGTGGAGACATCAGGAAAGACTGCAGTGTCAACAGGCAGTCCTAATAGCTCAACGACCGCATCACTGTGCATACATATGTACATGTAAACACTAAAGCGCATGTATTGTTTTGCCTCATGACTGCAAACACAGTCCAGACTCTCATATTATGCCTTATTGATCTGACAGAGTGAGTAGAAAGCTGGCAGAGAACACAAATACTGCCTGGGGTGGCTCTTTAAAACTAGACACAAGCCTGTTATCCATGGTGTTCACTTCCTCTGGAAATCACCTGGTGGCTTATGCATATTAAGTACTCTCTCCAAGCCTCAGCCTGTGGTCTGCCTTCTTCAGCCTCTGCTGTTTGTTGCAATGACTGTGTGATGGTAAACACACGTGCAGAAAACTGTAATTGCAAGCTAATCTGTCTAACCTCTGCTTTCTGCTCATTTTGCAGAGATACAGTTTGTTTTATTGCCACCAAAACAACAGAGGCAACCTGTTTTGTTTCACCAGTTGTTTGGGGATATGCAGTATGGTGAGTTTATGGTAGCAGAGTGTTTACAGGTAGAGACACAACTGTATTATAAGCCTTAAGCTCCATAACAAATTCCCACTTTTCACAACAAGCACTGCAGAGCACACAAATCTTTTCCAAGTTTGGAGTATTGCTACCAAATACAGTGGAACTGTCACAGGGACCCAATCTCAAGTAATCCCAGGGTGGCCTTTGCTCTGTCTGTCAGCACTACCGACCAATAAGGCTGCACAATAAAACCCTCCAGAACAACAGTGGGCCGCAGCCAGCTTCAAGGGCTACTGACGGCGATCTATAGACTCTCTGAGGGGACTTCAATTAATCACAGCAGAATTGTATCACCCTGCAGTATCAGTGTAAGGTTATTATCATCCCCGTATTCCGCAGGATGAAATGCAATGATAGCACTAATTGAGGGAAAGAAAAAAAAACAGCTGACCGCACAACACTTGTCAAGGGGATAAAGGGCAGATAAAACAACAGGCTGAAAACGGAGACAGGCTGAGACAGAAAAAAGAAGAGAGGCAGTGGGAGGGCGAGAGTGAAGAGGGGAGGGGCTGTCGAAAAAGAAAGATTCACAGTGGTGCGTGTCATAAATATCTCTAATCTGTGTGCAGGACACCTGAGAGCCAATTTACAGTAGGGACTCCATATGGGTCTTGTCAACATAATCCAACAAGATAAAAGCATTGTACTGTTCTTAAATCACAAACAAGCTGCTTACAGCTGGATCTGCTTTATTCTTATTTTGAAGTTGACAGGAATCACACCGATGGAGAACCTGGGCCCTGAATTCAGGTCCAGGTCCCATTTCAGGGCAGCAATTTGACTCAGATGTAGAGCTTTATTTTATGTTCAGGTTACCATGGCCAAGATGCAAGGCTTCCAGCAGGCAGTGAAACGCCAGGGACGGAAATGCTGTGAAAATATCGTGCAATGAAACATCAGGTCTAAATTAGATAGATCACATAAGACTTGGATAGATGGAGAGATGTACGTTTTCTCAAGATTATGTGATAAAACAAATTTTAGATTCTTCATTTATCTCATGCCCACATCACCTCTCTGCGTGCAGTCGAGATGACACACATCACTCATCTACCTTTCATGTTTAAACAAGACAAGTACAATAAAAGAATATAGACAAAAGCAAGGTGGGGGCTCCTTTAGTGCTTTTGTGCACCCAGAATGAGTAGGCAGATGTCTCTAGAGGGGAAACTTGTTTGTTTGTTTGTTTTTTGTCTAACCAACCAATGATTATTTCATGTTGCTGCAGAGATGTGATATTACAGTGTTCAAATAAATATTTGCTTACAGCTATTGTACACCTGAAGTCGTTTCCAGCACTAGTGTCCCCCAAGTTAATAACTATTTGTCATGTTGGAAACAATCCATTTTAATCAGTAAACTTATCCATTGCTTTGGCTATTTCTCAGACCCGCGTGAGTGAAATTCACTCATTTCTACTGAGCCACACATTTTACAGTTTAATGTACAAAACGTATGACAGGAAAAAATCTCAAGGTATGTCAACCTACCTGTCGCTGTGCTGTCAGTTTATCCCGGGAAACGTCCCTTTCATTTATTCTCCATTGTCAACCACAGAAGCCAGAGAGCTCTTCTTCAGAGAAATGCCATTTCCTTGTCGCTTCGAGACGCCCTCGACAGCACATAACCTAAAAACACCGCTCTACTGTCAAAGCTCTTCACACGCACAATCCCTGAGTGAAAGAAGTCTAAATCGGGGCTGCTGGCTACTTGCACGCAGTGGACTTATTAAAAGTCTATAAAAGTTGCTGGTCCTCCGGCTTTGACTCACAACTTCCCATCCGCCAGAGCGACACAACAACTGGACAACGCGCCGGACCGTCGCTCATCATTTCTGGATTAAATCATGGTGTGATTTGTCACAATCCTCCTTCCACATACTGGTTGCAACTGGGTTTTGGCAACGTCTTTGCTGCAGTTAGAGAAATGGAGTTGAGGCGTCCGAGCGATGAGAGAGCAGCTGAATTCATCACAGCGTCCGTGGCGTGCGGCTCGGTGTGTTGCGCCAGTGATCTAGCGCCATCTAGTGGAGCTCTGTGATCCCGGTCAGTGGTGGTGTCAGGAAGGAGCGCTGACATTTATCTCAGCCAGTTGTAAAAGATGTTAAATGGATGATTGGGCCCTCTTGAAGACAGCAAGACATAATATATAGTAGCACATAAAAGCTGTGTGAGACCATAAACGCTCCTCAGTGTTATTACATTCTGTGTGACTCTCAGCATTCAGTTTTAGATTTAGATTCTACATTGATTTATAGATTTAATATGTTTTTTAAATCTTATTTCAGCTCTGATATCGAGTAAATGTATTTCAAACCAACCAAAGAGGCCACTTTATGATGCGATACGGTTTTGGAGAAAGGGCCTGAGCTCTTTTTGGTCTGTGGGTATGCACTGAGTGAAAATGATTTGGATGGGGAGGATGCTGAATATTTTATGAAAAAGCAAAGCCCCTCCCAGCAATATTAATATATTTTTAATTGTCTTTGGATCCACATTCCTTCACTTTTCTTCCCCAGTATCTCAAAATAATACATTTATGACAAATGTAGAGCCAAAGTGTCCAGGGTGAACCCTGCCCCTTGCCCAGTATCAGCTGGGATTGGCTCCAGTCCCTGTGCGACCCTCCACAAGATAAGCACTATAGATCTTGGATGCATGGACAAATATAAGTGTTTGAATAAACAGCTGCTAAATAAATGGTTATTACAGCCAGCAGATGAGTGAAGCCATCTTTTGACCCTTCTCTCCTGACCTCCCTCCTCCTCTAATAACTTGTGTACAGTGCCTTATTCAGAAAAACTCGCTCTTGCACAACTTGCATTAGGCTCCTGACTACTTACCAAGGTTATGATAATACATTTGTCTCTGATATTCAACTTCTGCTTTTCTTGAGCACCACTGCCCTGTCTAGGCTTCCCCCAGTAATTGCATTATCATCTCTCCATTTCTCGAGCAGTCTCCTTCGTCTGGCCCCCCGAAAGGCAGGAATGAGTGGAATAATCAATAGCAACCTTTGAAATAGCCTGTGGAGATGGGAGGCAAGCATTTGGATTTGGATTTGATTGATTTTGGACACCCTCAGAGAGTGTTATCATCATAAAGCCAAAGCCGTCTACTACCTTATAGACAGCGCACACACATGCAAACAGAATCAAAAGGGCAGAATACACAAATTCAGCCAGGGGACTGAATACAAAAATGTCAGCTTGTTATCACTGACCAGCTGAACTACAAAATTCAAAACAGATGAAGTCCAGAGTCAGGCCTCACATCACTCAGTGATTGCTTATGAACAAAGAAGGTGTTATTTTGATTCTTTTTAGGTCATTTAATGTGATTCCCAGAGTCACCAGGCTTCCTTCTTCCACCCTCTTTCTCATGCACACACACACACAGCATGGAGATGACCTCATTAATCTTTCGAGCATTGTATAAACCTGTCCTGTCGTACCCCCGACTCTGTGGTTTGTGACATAGCTCTGCTCATTAAATCATACGATAGGATAAGGTCAGCCATGAGCTAAGGTGTCTCAAGCTGTGTGCAGGCAGATAAAGCCGGGGGAATGAGCTCCAGGGAGCTCAGCAACAAGGCGGCAGCTGAGGTAATCCCGGTTGGTCAGAATTTGGCATCAAAATCTAATAAAAGTCTGGTTTTGTCATTTTTGAGGTCCCACCACAAGGACACACAAACATCTGCTGCATTGTGTGGTTTGACACCTCCCAGAGAAAAACACACTGCCTTTTTAGGCCTGGATACTGTAGGTGGCATCTTGCATAACACTTGTCAGCCCATTCTTGTCATGCTGTGATTACTTCCACTTCACACAGAGAACAAAAGTTGTGGGTGCTTTGTGGACTGATATCGATTGTGGTGGTTCAGATTAAAATAACAGCACCCTGTAGGGAGCGTTTGGAGCCCTCTACCTGAACCCTCACTCGCCTTTGCCGCAGGTGTGTTTGAAGACAGTGAGACGTCTACTAGAAAATTGCAAGAGGAAAAATAGGAGGCATAATGGTCTCAGTAATGGAGCTGGCCATCAATAATGCAGATGAAGCTGCACTTAATGCCCTCTTTAATTCAACAGGTCTGCAAACACCAGGACAGTTATTCTTCCTCAGCTGCAGATACTCAATGAGCGGCAGCTACATCAGGCTTTATGGCTTTGTGTGCGGGTGCACCACCAGGTCTTTCCCTCGACCTCAATCCCGATTGTGGAGCCATTAATGGGTTTCCATCAGGGGCCCGTCCTAATGGAGTTTCCAGCTGTACCGGCTCTCTCACATACCAGTGGGAGCTGTAACCACTTGCAAAGAACGAGTGGAAATTATAGCTCATTCTGATCAGTATCAAAAAGTGTTTGATAAACAAAAACATGGCATAACAGTCTGTGTTAGGCAAATAATCATACGACTTACATTCAAGTTTAACACAAGTGAATACATCTTATGTCAAGGTGACAAAATGTTGCCTGTAGCCTGATAAGTAAGACGGACAAATCTCAAAACATGGGGAAATAGGTTGGCAGTTGTTCAGACAAACGGTGTAGCCTACTGTATGTTTCTAGCTGACTCAGTGAAAGGCAAGAAAGACAAATGTTCGTACAGTAACTGATGCAAAATGTATCATTCACACTGTGGTGAATGAGTATTCAGATCCTATGATTGACTACAATGAGTACCACAAAGTGAAAATACTCCACTACGGGTATGAGTCATGCATTCAAGTAACAGTTCCCAACCTAGAAGTTTGGCCATTCCATAGGATCACATGACACATTTATGTAGTTGTGAGAATTTTAATGAGGAAGGAGAAAAAGATAAAACTATATATATTTTTCTGAATATTTTCTAATCTTTACTTTCATAAGTGAAAAATGGGTCCCTGATGGACTAGTGGCTAGGATTCAGCGCTCTCGCCGCTGTGGCCTGGGTTCGACTCGGGGTTGTATCAGGAAGGGCATCCGGCGTAAAACACATACCAAATGTCAACATGTGAATTGTCAGTGTGGCGACCCCTAATGGGAAAAGCCGGAAGTGACACTCACTTTCATAAAAAGTGAAAACAAATCAAATTCAAACAACTGAAAAGTGTTATTCAAAAGAAACCATTTGAGAAGATGAATGGGTAAATCACTAATGCTGAACATGACCATTATAGTAAGAGCTGGGTACAAAACTGGTTCAATGTTCAGATATCCCTTGTTCAGATGTCATTCATAGTACATTATCAGTTATTCTGAAAACTAACTAGTAACTACAACATACACCAATCATCCATAACATTATGACCACCTGTCTAACACTGTGTACACAGGAGTCGGTTGGCACTCGTGTCACTCTGCAGCTCATTGTGCATCTTCTGTGAATCTGTTTGCTTCCATAGTTCTACTTCCATAGTTACCCTTGTCAAAGTCACTTGTTCTTCCAATTTTTCCTGCTTCCAACAGATCAACTTTGAGGACTGAATGTTCACTTGCTACCTAATACACCCCGCACACTGACAGGTGCCATTATAACAAGATAGTCAGTGTTATTCTCTTCACCTGTCAGTGTTATGGCTGATCGGTGTGGATGTTGGTGGAATAAATGTGATGGAGTAAAATATATGAATTGTAGCGAAATAACAACTAAATTACAACACTTAAATATAATTGTACTTAGGTACCACCACTGAGTAAAATTCTGTAGATAATTTTGGCAAATGTATCCTTATTTATAACAGAGTTCATATATTCTTAGAACATAAATATATAAAAAAAGGCTGCACCACAGCGGCAAGTCTAAGGTTTTCCCCAGTTTTCCTAAGCCAGCACCTCTCAAGAATGTAGGTGCCTTCAGTTCTACCAGATTCAAAACAAAATGTGAGACAAAATGAAAATCTTTTTGAAACTTTTTGCATTGTGGATCTAACTGTACCTCATTCATTTTGCATTGTCACGCAATGAAATATGAAATCCAGATGTATTGTTTTTCTTTTGTCTTGTTTTCTCTCCTGACAACCTGAATATCAGATAACGTCAGCTTTTCACAGCAGACCTGGGACCGGTTTTCGCCCCCTCACCACTCTCCACAACACACACAAAGGGAAAGCAAGAGGAATCAGAAGGAAATTCTCTTGTCATTTCACTGTTTCCCTTGGACTCAGAGCTGTCTGCCTCAGCAGCCTCTGACTGAGAGCTAGTGAGTCATTTATCATGAGAGAGATTAAATCTTCATCCGCTGCTACTGGATGCTGAGTACTTCATCTCTGGGAGAGGAAATAAAAGTAAAAAAAAAAGAATCAGTCCTTTGAGTCAAAGAAAATAATTCCATTTCTTTTTTATCATTACCAGCAGGTGGTCTTGTAGACAATTTGTAATACAACAGCTATTATTCACAAATAAATGTTTAGAAATATATTATAAAGCATAGAGACATAGTTGTGCTTCCCACTGAGCCATAAAATTACAGTGGGTGAATGATAACCACTTTTTAAGTCAGTACAGTATGTCAGCATCATGTTCCCATGTGTTGTTCACGCATGATGCTTTGCCGCCATCTACTGGTCATGTACGGTCATGCAAACATCTTTATCATGAAGTTGCAGGACACACCAACAAACTGTGGTAGCAAAACTTTTCTTTGTTTCATGGTGAAAAAGCATAAAAGTGATCTGCAGAAGTAGATTCTATAAAATAAATAACGTAAAAAAAAGTATCAGTGTAAGACGTTTGAACCTCTAGTAAAAAATATTACTGCTAATACTTCACCTGCTGCTGTTGGATAATCTAATCTATAGCAATGTTTCATGTTTTATATTAATTGATTATTATTACTAATCCATTCATTTGCAAGCAGCATTTTACTGTTGCAGTATGTTGAGCTCATTTTACTGGATTGTTTAATCTGTCCCACTGCATCATATATTAATCCTACATTTTGTATGTAAAGTTTGTGATGTGTTAAGTAGCTTAACTAAAACTGTCAAACACTGCAGTCAAGTAAAATGCACAATATTTTACTCAGAATTGTACTAAAGTACACTATAGAATAAAATGGAAATAGTCAAGTCCAAGGAGTAATTCAAGTAGCTCTTTTTTGTAGAGTACTTAGTTACTTTCCACTACCGCAGCCAGTCAGATGTAGCTGAGTAAAAAGTACGTTTGCCTCTGAACTTTAGTGACGTAAAGGAGTGAAGTGCAAATACATACAAAGCGTGCAGTAGACAAGCTTGACTATACATACTCAGTTATGCCGCACCGCTGGCATAAATACATAAATAAAAACACAGCTCTGGTATAACGTGAGCCAAATCTGCTTTAGTTTTACTTCTTAAAGAATTACAACTAATTAAACAAACAAATGCTGTAAAATAAAATAAAATTGTCATTGTAGATGACATGAAGTCCATGGGATTAGTTCATTTTTGTGGACTGTTTCTTTCAAAAACCCAAACAACAAACAAACAAAAAACTAATAATTAAAAATAAAGCTGAATAACACTATTACAGCTATAAGCATGCCATCTTCAGTATTGACTGATAAGGAGAGCTAGAGAACGGATCGATTGATGTTTTGTTTACCAGGCAACAGTGATTTCTAAGAGCAAAAACAATCAATACTGGAGCATTTACATCACATATCAGTGTGAGTCCTTGAGCACCATGAGCTGAAAGATGGGCTGTGACCTCAGATAAAAGCGGTTATGTAACGCAGTCCAACTTCTTTATGCATCATTAGTGCTGCTGCTTTTTGAAAACCGGACCAAAACAAGGACTCTTGACTAAATGCCAAACTCCAGCATCTTTGTGCTGATTACTGTGATGATGGGACTATGGTAAAATAATGTTTACCAGGCCTTTTCTGCTAAAAGAGCAAACCACAATGGCAGTGTGAGATGCATCTGTAGATTGGTCAGGCTCCACCTCAGCTGTACAGTGAATGTGTAAATAAAATGTTAATGATTACTTCTCAGAATCTGGTTAACTATACAAAACACAATATAATTATATGACTTTATTGATCCCTGGTGGGAAGTTAACAAAATACCCAGCACTACTTGTGATGTACACAATAATGCATCAGTAAATATAACCCAATAATATGATATACATTAATGCAAAATGTGCCATTCTGCATAATAAGTACTTCTGGTACTATAAGTAAGCTTGGTGCCAATACTTATTTACTTTTACTTGAGTAACATTTTGAATGCACAAAGTAGTTTTACACTGTGGTATTACTTTTACTTACATGGGCAATCTGACTATAGAATTACATGTGTGTGTGATGTCCTGGCCTAGACTTATAGTTTATTAGTAAAGTATAACCCTTTATTAACTTTCTCGTTGGTCTTGGTGACTAACATCTTATAAATATATCTTGCAGCTGATGAGATTTGGAGTTGGGCTTAGATTTGTGGCTGTGGAGGATATTTCACGGTTTGCTGCACATCGAAGCCCTGCCTTCTGAGATGAGATAGCCTCCTGTCGGATTACAGCCGATACGCAGCCAGGAAGGCTTTATTCCGTTTCGAATGAGGAAAACATCGTGTCTGCCTGTCTGAGAAAGCTGTCACATGGGGCCAAGACGGAAAAAACGCTTCCTGAAATCATCACTCGCTGTGTATTATTGTTTTCATTCTCTAACGTAATATCGCATCGCGTTTATTTTTCATTTTATTTTTTCTTGTTTGACCATATCTTTTCGCCGAGTGTCGCTGCTGATCATGATCAGCAAAGTTAAAAACGCGATGTCCACTCTGGTGGGAGGCATGATGCCGCACGGACATCACCACCACCACAACCATCATCCGTGCGGCGGCCAGACCTGCGGACAGGACAGCATGCCGCCGCGCTTCCCCTACGGCCGGCCGGATTTCTTGGACCTCACCCCGGAGCTCCTGCAGTACTCCACCGAGCACGCATCACGGCCGGTGCTCGCGTTAAAGAGAGGCAGCAGGCTTCCGTGGGGGACGGGATACGCAGAGTGAGTGGCGAGGAATTCACTGACCAGTTGTCCGAAAAAATCATTCACATCGCCAGATGTTATGATTTTATTGTTCGGATGAGCGTCAGGCCCGTGTTACTGCAGCCTCAGCAGCTGTGAGTGCACTGCGTGCACTGCAGTAGCCAAATGACGGCCAGTGTGGCCCTTTGTTATTGTACAGCTGCTACCTCAGTGTTCCTCCCTGAGCTGCTGTAAATGATAGGTTTGTGCTGTAATCAGACTAAATGCTCTCTGTCATGGCACTGTGATATTTGTGTTCAAATCAGGCTCCACCTCAATTCAATGTAAAGATTTATCCTGGAAATACACAAAGTCATTCAAAAGTGAAAGCAGGAAATGTCTACTTACTCATAACAAGCCTTTCTGAAACCTCAGTGCCACCTTTTTGTTCAGCTGGTTATCTGTATTTTCATACTGTGTTCCTGTGTTTCTGGTTAATACTTTAGGCTATTTTACCTTTGTCTTTCATTTAAAAAAGGTTCTGTGGCTACTTGAAGCATTAGCCATTCACATTTGTAAGCTATAGTGGAAAACTGCTCTTTGTGTCCTTGGTTTTACTGCAGGTGCTTTCATACTATCAAAACCTGCAGTACTCTCATAGGTAGAAACAATGCAGCATAACTTCATTCACACTATTGGCAAGAAAGGG